TCAGGCTCATGGAAGAGAACAATGTGAGCAGGGCAGGAAATCTGGTGGATTCAGGCAGGGAATTCCCTCTCCTGGATTTCAGCACCCTTCACCTGAATTCAATTTACAGGGAAAAAACCTTCCCTTGCAAATTCCACCTGCAGGTTAAGTTTGAAGCTTTTAGGACTGGAGTTTTAATTACAGAACCCCAAATTCTGGCTGGCTCACAGGGGAAGTGCTGTAGACAGGAAGAAAATGCTGTTTTCATCCACAGTCCTGACTATCCAAAGCCTTAAGCTAGTTTTGCTATTTCCCCCCACAGGAGTGAAAGGAGAAAGTCACCACCAGCAGATTTATTTTACAGGTTTTATCCTGCTAGCCAATCTCTAAATGACAGGGTTTTTTTACCTTGTGGTTGTACTGTGGTTTGGAGCTGATGCACACACGTTTATTAACGTGAAAAAGAAAAGAGCAGCTCCAGGAAAGTCTGTCACACCGAGCTAAAAACATTCTGTACGTGTCTTCTTTCCTTAAAGAACATCTTTATATTTAGAAACAAGCTAATTAGGATTATTTGCACTGTTTTGTAGAGAACAGATGGCCAGCTCTTACCTCCTTCTTGGTGAATTCTGGTGCGTGGTCATTTTTGTCATCGATAAGAATGGTGGCAGTGGCTGTGCCCGTCAGTCCCACATCCATCCCACCCATGTCCTTGGCTTCTATAACCAGCTCATACTTCGGGCTTTCCATAGTCTGAAAAAAACCCAAACAACAGAAAATGAAAGGTTAAAAAAAAAATCTACAGAGATAACATACTACTTTTAATTAATATTAAAATAATAAATTAAAAAAAAAACAACAAAACTTTATTTGGCCTAATGAAACACAGAGAAACAGATCTGTTATCACAGTTTTACTGAAACACAAGCACAGCTTTCTATGAGATCAGCTGCTACCCTGGAAACCTCATTTACAATCCAGCATGAAGGTGAATATTGGTAAACAGCTCATAATTTATCCTGTTATTTAGGAAGATTAAGAAAGAGGTAAGAAATTAAAATATACTTGCTCTTTAAGAGTAAGCTCTACTTTCAGCGCACCAATATTTAGCAGCTTGCTTCATCAGTGTTATGATGGGTACATAATTAAATACTAATGTCACAATCTACATATAAATTCACTTTATTAAATCCCATTCATTCTGGGTATTAGCATTTAGACTGGTAATCTAAGTTTGCTTCGCTGTGAGAAACAACAAAGCAGTTTCCAAAACGGGCAGAAATTTCTAGTTATGGCCCAAAGCAAAGGTGTCAAGTGATATTAATGATTTATGTTGCTGATGTCTGATGGGTGCTTACCTGGCTGCCCAGCTACTGCAGAACCAGGCAGCACAGGCCCACAGTAAAATCCAACTTCATTTCCTCTCATAAAACACAGCCTTAATCTGGAAAAAATCCCATTTGTGGTCAGCTCTGGAATGGGACTGTGCCAGCCTCTGGAATTCCCACCTCTCCCAGCAGGGATGGGAGCACAGGGATGGGCAACACTCACAGGGAGCTGCTCTCAGCATCAGAACCTGCTCCCCTGGAATCCTGAGATGGATTTCACTTCATCAAAATGTGTTTTGTGTGGCTGCCTCCAATGGAACCACCCTCCCAAAGCCCAGGTGAGCACCACCAGCCCAGAGGACACAGCTGGGGAAGGGCTGCGTGGTGAGGACATCACAATGCCCAGGAATGTTTATCCAAACCCCCCTGGAAAATAAACCTGGATCCCATGGGGAAAGCTGCAACAAAACCCCTGCTTCTGGAACCTTCTGGAACCTTTTGGAGCAGTGTCTGCCAGAGCCCAGGATTCCCAGCTTTGACATCCCTCATCCCTATCCTCTATCCAACACTTTCCCAGGGAATTGGCAGCAGGGACACAGCCCAACAAAGGAACCTCTTGGGTTCCCAGTCTGCTCTGCAGCCAAGGCATTTGGAAGCTTTTCCCAAATGGTGAATTTTGCACTATAAATTTTCCTGGGCACATCCCACCATCTCTTTTTTTTGGAGAACGTGTGAGAAGGAGATCCCAGCTCCTCAGTACGTAGATTTTGAGGCATTTTTAGCAACCACCTCGGTTGCTCATCAGATCAGCTATTATGAAACATATTTGCATGTAAAGTCAACAAGTCAAGCCAGAAGATAAATTTTGTTCTAAAAACATATGAACTAGGAAATCAAACACTGCTGCCACACAGGGGATCCTAAGAAATGTATCTCCTGAAGTCTTACAACATTATACCATGAATTTCATCTCAGAAGGCAGAAAACCAAGAACAGGAATTTGATTTATAACATCATAAAGATATACGCAAAGAAGTATTACTGACATGTCTGCAACACAAAATCACGTCATGGACGGAAACTAAATTTACAGTTTTCATATATTTGTTTTCTAAATTGCATTAAAGCCTGAATGAGACTTCTCTCTCCTCCCCTAGCTGCAACTTTTTCATTATTTTGATTAGAAAGTCGTTATTATTGTATGGAAAACTTGCAAAGCCATTTATCACTTCATGTTTATAAGCCTCTCTGCTCAGAAAGAAGCCATTTTTATTCACAAATTGGCCTTTTTTCCTTTGAAAACCGTCCCATTTTCTATTGAAAGCAAGCTCATTTATTCTAGAAATTGCATCTACTGCAGCAGAAATGTCTGTGACAGGAGTCCAATGTTTAAGCTCGTGCAAAATGTGAAAAACATTGAATTTTGAGTAGTATTTGATATAATTATGAATACTTCACACTTCCCTGCTATGCAGCACTTCCTACAACTCGTTCTGACACCAAATATTTGCTTTGTTAGAGGAAGCAGCTGCTAACAGATGCAAACCCCGAGCAGAGCCTTGTTCCCATCACAGGCTCTCTTTGCACTCGCTTGTAAAGGACCTTTCAGAATCCTCCTGCTTCCAGCCCAGCTGAGTCAGGCAGAGCAGGGATTGTTTGGAGCAGTGTGATTTACCAAAAACTGGATTTCTGCAGCTGGAGCAGGGCTCCCTGTGCTGCCAGCAGCCCCATTCCACAGGGATGCTGCTGCAAGGGGCTGCCCTGGAAGATCTCATGGCACCTCCTCGGCATTTCCCTCTTCCCAGGGCTCAGGGCTTTGACCCCAGTGTGTTCTCCCTCCTTTTTCTCCTGTCTTGTGAGGAATATGTGCTGCTGGAAGGAGGCAGTGGAGGAGAGCATCCTTCCTTCCCCATCTCCATCCCTGCCCAGCTGCAGGTGAGCAATAAATGCAGCACCCAAATTTGTACCATTTTGGGACCCCACAGAGACTCAGACATGTCCCACCAAGTCACTGCCTGTCACTAAACCCTGCTCAGCTCCTAAATGACCTAAGCACAGCCTTGCAGAAGCAATCCAGTCAATACCACTTGGATAGTGAGATACTGGCAACAGAAATAAGCCCCAGCTCTCAACAAGTGGGATCTGCAGCTCCAGAGGATAATGGATTATTTTAATAAATGAACATCAAGTCGCTGCTGGTGTGGCTTGTTATTTATCAACTGTGACTTTGTGGAGTGTGACACTGTTGAGAGGGTTTGTATAATTACAGCAGGAGAACCATTCCTTTCCCCATAAATTTTCCTTTTAGTCATTCAGGCGCAGCAGGGGTGACACTGCCAGCTTGTGTGGTTTGCCAAGGAGGTGAGCTGTGTCCTGCTTTCCTTCACAGGTCCCTGCCATCCCCACCAGAGTTCACAATCCCATCAGCTCCTGCTCCCCTGCTGCCCTGGCTCAGCACCACAGAAAGGGAGAGGCCAGCAAAGGCACTTTTCCAGAGTTCAGCTCCGGGACAAAGCCAGCAGCAGCTAAGCACAGCACAGGGAAATAAACTGGGCAGTGCAGAGTGAACCATGGGAGAGCTTTGGGGAAATGCTGAATGAAACCCCACATGATGATGGCTTTCTGCTGGGCTTTAATCTTTCAGTGTCACAGGTACAATAAAAAGCCATCAGTGAGAGAAGAGGAGCGAGCCCTGGCTGTCAGTATTTCACACCAGCATCCTTGGTCTGGGCTGTAGGCAGCCAAATTCAGCTGGAATTGGCAGCACCATCGGAGCAGCACAGCTCCAGATGTAGGGTGGGAAGCAGTGGAGCTGCTTGGGTGGTTACAGGGGAGGTTTCTGGCCCCTGGGGCTGTGATTCCCTGCAGCAGCACCCAGGGCTCTGTGTGCAGCAGGACTGCAACCACCTTCCCCAGAAGCCAAGGGGAATCCAAGGTTCCTCCAGTGCCCCCCTGCAGGACACCCATGGGTGGCTTATTTTGGACAGGGCACGCTCGGTTCCACAGCACCAAGACTTTGTTTAGTGCAAAAAAAATATATAATGGGGAGAATAGAAATCCCCAAATTTGCAGAAAGTTGCTGAAATCAAAATAAACTGTCTTTGGGAAGAAAACAATGCACAGAACGTTCAAAACCCGTACAAGGGTTTAAAGGATCCTTTCAGTAATAATT